ATCTGAACTCACGGCTTTCTTATCTCTATATCTTGATATCTATCCAGAGGTGAGGTGACGTATGTTGGGGTTTTTTTTGGCATGACGAATCGAAGTAAAAATATTGAAAAATACCTGCACTGCGAGATTATTTCACTACCTTTTTGCGAAATACAAATGCATACATCCACAAGATGGTTTTGTGTTGTTATTTTTCAAACCATTTATCCAACCTTCACCAAATTTAGCTGGATAATGCCAACTGGATAGAATGTGACATTTTAAGTTAGTAGGTCAAAAGTCAAGGACACATATCATGTTAATACACTGTACATGTAGTATAGAACAAATATTGTTTTATGACAATATAATTTGAACCATAAATTAGATCTTACCATATCTTTGGGGGAGCACTTTTGCTACAAAGGAAGGGGAAGTTGAATCAATTAAGAAAGTACATCAACAATAATAAGGGTACCATGAAGATAATAGTTTCCCTCGCAACAAATACCGATGCGACCTTGTCTTTGGACCTTTAACATACATTTGTGTCTTAAATTAACACTATATTGAATGTGTAAATCAAGTGTGGTAAAGATCGGCTGAGAAACAAGGTCTATTGTATGTGTCCACGAGTGTGTTGTTGATGGACGGACAGGCAAGCGCGTTACAATATCACCTCCGCTACTTTGTTCTAAGGGAATAATAAACAATATAGACAAACAAGAGTTATCCGCTATTAAGAGGAAGTGCAGTAAGATTACATCAAAATATATTTTTAAAAAAGTAAATTTATATCATGCATATTAATCTCATGTTTAATATATGTTTGCAGATCGAAAACTTGTAGCATGTAAATGTTAAGATTAAAAATTAAATCAGGCCATTGTAGAATTTGTCAGTTGACTTGTTTTATAATTTTAGATTTTACAGCTTTTACCTTAAGTTTGCATTACAAATTCTATATAATTTGGATTGCATGCACTTCAAAACCAAACGATGTAAGGATACATGTATATACAACGGAAAGTAAAAGGTATTATTAATACCTAGTACATGTATAATTATGCTTATTCATTAATTTGAATACAAATGTCAAAGAGAGAGGTTGTTTTAAGTTGGCATTGCTTCTGTTATGGCATTATCTGCATTTATCTTCAATGCTAGAATCTTATGTTTCTTACTAATTTCAGTTGTATTTTATTTCCAGATAAAACCTTTGTCGGTAATCACACACTTTATTGTTCAAATACTACTGACTCCTGGGTTGACAGTACACTATTACACCACGGAGAGATTCTAGACAATGACATTTATGTCTTTGGTTTTTGCAAATATGTAATTTATTTTCCCTCTATCTTGAATGATTATTCAAAGGTTGATTTATGTGAAATAGAAATCGGTGGTAAGTTTTAGAAAATGTAATTTTTATTTCGTGGCAATTGATTGTACGTACTCTTTTCATCAAATAATGATGAAATTTTGAATATGTAGTCCTGGTGAAGTTGAAAGCATACGTTTCAAATGAAAACAAAAAAACACACAAATACATACATGTACAGAGAAAATCAAATAAAACAAAACACAAAACAAAACAAAACAAAACAAAACAAAATCAAACAATATCAAACATAAGCAAGCAAATAACATTTCGATTGTGTTTAACGACAGCTTGCTTTTATTGGGAAAAAATCGAAATGCACAATATCTTTTTATTGGTAAATGGAAAAGAATAAACGAAAATATTTGAAAAGGCGACTAGTACATTTGACCAGTTGTAAAGGAAAGATGATAGTCTCGAAACCATACAGCAGTGTTTGTCGTAGTTGATTGTTTACATAAAAGAAACAATAAGATAAACCAAGCAATACTATTCTATAAGTTTTACTGCTTTTTAAAAGAATTTCTAAATGTTTATACGCTTAATATCCTGTATTGCTAAAGGATGCCCTAGTGGAAAATATGGAGGAAACTGTAAAATACACTGTCCAGCAAACTGTCATGGGCCATGTGATTTGACAAAAGGAGATTGTTCATATGGATGTTTAGATGGTTGGCTTGATAAAAAATGTGACAAAGGTAATCTGTGTGTTCTATTTTTCCAACATCAAAACAAAGAAAAATTATAAAAAAAAAATCGGGATTATTTCGAACTTTAATATTTGCATGATTTCCTTCGTCAATAATTACAAAACTGATAAAAAATGTCAAGATTCGATATGATGCTTCCAACATTAACAACCCATAATACCAACAAATCTGCAAAATGACCATTGTAATCCAACAGTAATTGCTCAAAACATCATATAAAAACCAAAAACTACAAAGTATTAGAGTATGTTTTACCTCTCGCAAAACGTTGGACGGATCTCATGCGTATGATGAATATTTTTATCGAACTGGTTTACTTCAAATAAAATGGAAAACGAAAATAGTCAGTAATCAATGCTTCCGTACTGATGTCACCGGGGAAAAATGGGTGATTGTGTAACAAGAGCCTGACTAAATGAACTCGTGTTACTGAAATTGTGTGATATTCCTAATCACACAACGAACGACTACTCTGAATGACAAGACAACTCTGGATCTGTAACCCTGGTGCAAACTAACACTTGAGACTCTGGAACACGCGATAAATAATTCAATAATTCAGCATGGAACACAAAGACTGTGTTTAGTGTAAAGTCCTGAGTCCAGTCTGATTTATCAAAATTACAAGTATTTATACAAAACTAAATTGACACGAATAAACTTTAAGTAACATAATAAATAACAACCCATCTGAGTGATATTGTTCACTGTCAAAGATATGTGGGCAAAATACCATTCAGGACAGATTACAAGTGCTAAATTTTTTCATTCCCTGAGCTTCAGATATCAAGCGAAAACTGACCTGTGGTGACTATACGCGTCTTTATGTCTTTAGAATGTTTATTATATATAACTACAATTATATTAATGTGCAATGAAATGACTTTTAAACACGGATGTGCAATGAAATGACTTTTAAACACGGATGTGCTATGAAATGACTATTAAACTTTTAATCATAATCGAAATTATAACTTTAACTCTGCCAGGTCAAACCTACCTGGCCTAAGCCCTGATAAAATAGGAGGGAAGTCATAAGAAGCAAAGACTGTAAAAGCGCAAATGTCCTTTTTTTAAAAGCGCAAATGTCCCATAAATTGAAGCGCAAATGTCCTAAGAAAAAGCGCAAAATTCCCGCGCCGTTTTAGAACTTGGAAGAATAAATATGAATTAATAATGTGATTATGACAATTAAGAACATAACTATTAGGAAAATGGTCACTAATTAGTTAACAGATTAAAACATGTCACTCAACGTCCAATCTGAGAATTTTTAAATTAACACATCAAAACTTGCTTAAAAGTTATGAGTAAGATATGAAAATAGAAACTAATATTTAAAATAAATAATTAAATGCAATGAATTTAAGTCAACATGTCAGAATTGTAAATTTAAAGAAAAATGCCTAAAAAATACGAGAAGCGACTTCTAGCTAGGTCACACTGACATGATTTACAACATAATTATCGTAAATTCTGTGTAAATTGATATTTTTTTTAAAGAAACTAACTTGAAGGTTCCAACTCCCTCCGGCAAATTTTTGATTTCGATGAAGTTAGCTATCCCCTTTAGTTCCCTTTTAGTAATGTACTTGTAGCTCATCAACATCGGGTACATATGTATTTGTGCATTCTTTGCTTTCAAATGTTTGGGTTTAGGCTTCCCGATAAGGTAGTTCAGACGCAACATATTAAAACTTCCCTCTTCATGTACAATGTAGCAATTGACGAGGACATAATCTATAGAGGTATGTGTAAAATTTATTTTAAATGTTGTTATGGGAATAAATTCCTCGCGTACTAACTAGAATTAGTTTTCTGCTTGCTGTTTACGTATTGGAACACGCCAATTATCTGTATATTATATAAAACAACAAGTCCATAGAGATTTAGAAAAAAATATTAACAAAATGATTGATTTACAGCAAAGATTAATTATTTTGAAGTTAAGTCACTCAGCAAATTTAAACTGAACTTCTTCCGATTTCAACATTTAATTCGAATACATTGCGAAGATCGCACACGCATGCACAAAAAAATCAAGACGACCTGTATTTAGAATTCTTAAAAAAAAATGAAAGATTTTAAAGAATAATCGTTCTTTTAAAATAATTTTCATTTTCTTTTTAACTTGACCAGACATAACGTTTAATTTGTATAATTTACACAAAATAATCTCTCTAAAGAAAGTTCTCTTGACAATAGCGTGCACAAACACTACATTGCGGAAAAAAATAGATTTCGAAGTGTGCCATGCTAAGGATTATGTGGAACATTGTGAACATTGATGTATGGAACTAAAAGAGTTATTTTTTTTGTTTGTACGTTTCCACCAAAAATTTCTTTATCAAAAAGTAAAATAACAAAAATACCGAACTCCAATGGAAAGTCCTTTATAGCATGCACCAAAGATGTACTGTTGTGGTTCAGATTTTTTCTTTAAATCTGTTTGGTTATCAGCGTAAACAAGCTTTTCATTTTCTTACCTTCACCATAGGAAGACTTCCTTTTCTCTTGTTTTCGATTAATCAGTTTATACAATGTTAGCAAATAGATTAACACGAGCAATCTACTTCAGTTGCATAGATGATCGTTGATATATTCGGGTGACCAAGGTGATATCAATAAATATACTCCCACATGGTGATGCCCACTAAATGAAATAACACAGTCATGTGACAACGTGTTCAAAATGAAAGTACGGAGAATAAAATAAAGGTTTAAGGGGAATATAGTTTTGTTTATGCAACAAGCCATTAGTCGTTAAAAGTAAATATTAATAGTAAGAGCAAAGTTCAAATTTGAAACGAAACATTTAACGGCTTACCATCTTGACGATGGTCCTATTGTGTTTTCTAGACAGCACTTTTTATAAATCAAAAACTAATTATTTAGGGAATGACAGATGTTTTAATTTTACAGCATGAACATATGGTTCCTTTGGTGCTCAATGTCTTCGAAACTGTTCAAACAATTGCGTATCGCCACCCTGTAATCATGCGACAGGAGAATGTGATAGAGGATGTATCAAAGGATGGGAAGGATTCAACTGTACAAAAGGTTAATTAACTTGTAAACAAAAATGCATAGACGACGATAAATCATCTCTGCATGTTATGATCTTGCAGATGAAAAAAATACCAAAACAGATCAATACAAAATAGTGCTTCTAAAATATGAAAAATATGAAAGGGTCAAAGGCTTGATCACCCTTAGCACAATTTGAAGTCCGATATTTGTTGGCATATGATTCTTTAGTATTTTTTTGTAGCCACACCTAGTCTCAAACTTTCAACAATGACATTGCTTTTCGCAATAGTGTAAACAATATCGAAAATAATTCAAGCCACACTGTTTCAAAACGACAGGCCATTGTTTTTTTATAAACTGTTTGCCTTTTGTCATTTTGGGTCATTTTATAGCTTACTATACGGTATAGGTTTTGCTCATTGTTGAAGGGTCGTACAGTGACCTATAGTTGCTTACATTTTGTAATGTTCCAATTTTTAGCTCACCTGACCCACAGGGTCAAGTGAGCTTTTCTGATCACTTGGCGTCCGTCGTCCGTCGTTCGTCGTCGTCGTCGTCGTCGTCGTTAACTTTTACAAAAATCTTCTCCTTTGAAACCACTGGGCCAAATTGAACCAAACTTGGCATAAATCATCCTAAGGGTATATTGTTTAAAAAAATGTATCCGATGGGTCATTTTATAGCTTACTATACGGTATAGGTTTTGCTAATTGTTGAAGGGTCGTACAGTGACCTATAGTTGCTTACATTTTGTAATGTTCCAATTTTTAGCCTTTGACCCTTTCAATCAAGATGGCCGCCATGGCTAAAAATAGAACAATGGGGGTAAAATGTATTTTTTGGCTTATATCTCTGAAACTAAAGCATGAAGAGCAAATCTGATAAAGTTAACATGATCATCAGGTTGAAATCTATCTGCCCTGAAATTTTAAGACGAATCAGACAATCCGTTGTTGGGTTGCTTCCCCTAAATTGGTAATTTTAAGGAAATTTTGCAAATTTTGGTTTTTATCTTGAATATTATAATAGATAGAGATAAACTGTAAACAGCAAAAATGTTCTGCAAAGTAAGATCTACAAATAGGTGAAAAGACAAAAATTGTCAATTGACCCCTTAAGGAGTTATTGCCCTTTAAAGTAAAATTTTCACAATTTTTCGTAAATTTTTGTTATCTTTAACAAAAATCTTCTCCTCTGAAATTACTGGACCAAGTTAAACCTAACTTGGCCTAAATCATTCATAGTGTATATAGTTTAAAAAATGTATCCGATGACCGCGCCCACCTACCAAGATGGCCACCATGGCTAAAAATAAAACATAGGGGTAAAATGCAATTTTTGGCTTACATCACTGAAACTAAAGCATTTAGAGCAAATCTAACGAGGTTAAAATGTTCATCAGGTCAACATGACTAAATTGTCAATTGACCCCTTAAGGAGTTATTGCCCTTTAAAGTCAATTTTTCACTATTTTTCGTAAATTATTTTAATCTTTTACAAAAATCTTCTCCTCTTAATCTATTTGGCCAATTGGAATTAAACTTAGCCACAATTATTAATAGAGTATCTTGATTGAAAAATGTATCCGATGACCCTGCCCTACAACCAACATGATCCCCATTGGTAAAAATAGAACAGAGGGGTTTACTATAGAAGTCTATGTGAAAATTGTAAAAAAAAAACAATTTCAAATGGTCACAACTTGAAAACTGATTTAAATAATGATAAGGGAGGGGTCTTCATTAACTATTGTAAGACTACAATGGGATGACTTGATTTTTTTCCAGGGGGTGCAGTTTTTTATAGGGGGGGGGGGGGGGGGGGAGGGTGCTAATAATTTCTCCTTGATATGTTCCATTTTCAGAATTATTCAGTGTGACTTTTTCTATAAACCATTTTTATATCTTTCAGCATACTAATATTGGGTGAATGCCCCCCAGACACGGCGGGTTAGTCGGGGTCAGGGGAATCCCTGCCCAAATTTTTTATGAGGGGTGTTCCATCAAAACATTTAAATGCATTTTCAGCATTATACAGGCCCTGGGTGAAATAAATTTTGGAGAAAAGGAAAGGAAATTTTTTATTTTTTGTTAATTATTTTGAATATCATTATAGATTGAGATATACTGTAAACAGCAAAGAAAGATCTACAAATAAGTTAACATGACCAATTGGCAATTGACATCTTAGTGGAGTTATTGTCCTTTAAAATTATTTTCTGCAATTTATTGGTAATTTTTGTAAATCTTTTCAAAAATCGTCTGCTTTTAATTTAACTACTGGGCCAAATTAAACCAAACTTGTCCTCAATCATTATTAGGGTATCTATATGATTTTAACCTTATTTTACATGATTTCCAAAACCACAGTAGATACATGTGAGCGACACAGGCTCTTGGGAGCCTTTAGTTTATACTGTGTCCTTTCCTCGATTTCTTCTTGCAGTTAATACACAAAGTCGTTAGACACTATTATTTTAAAGGGAAGCTGTTACAACCTTTCAAGTTCTAAATCATGAACCACAATGTACTATCCTTCCCAATTCCGTTACTCTCGTCTTTCCTCTTTACGATTGAACGACAATACACTATCGCCTTATAAATGTTCCTACGATATAGTTTTTGACTGAATACAATAATGTTTTTTCAAAGATTTCAAACGGATATATATCGAATTAAAATAACTGTTTATATAAAAAAAAAGAAGATGTGGTATGATTGCCAATGAGACAACTCTCCACAAGAGACCAAATGACACAGCTATAGGTCACCGTACGGCCTTCAACAATGAGCAAACCCCATACCGCATAGTCAGCTATAAAAGGCCCCGAAATCACAATTGTAAAACAATTCAAACGAGAAAACTAACGGCCTAATTAATGTACAAAAAAATCAACGAAAAACAAAAAAGTAACACAGCAACAAACGACAACCACTGAATTACAGGCTCCTGACTTGGGACAGGCACATACATACAGAATGTGGCGGGGTTAAACATGTAAGCGGGATCCCAACCCTCCCCCTAACCTGAGACAGTGGTGTAACAGTACAACATAAGAACGAACTATAAAAATCAGCTGAAAAAGGCTTAACTCATCAGATGGATACAAATAGAAATACATATAACAAAAATACACAGTGGACGTGAACGGATACTTGAAAATCCCAACAATAAAAAGACATTAAGTACAGATCTGAGAGTACTCGCAGTTACTGACAGCTAGTTCAAAGCCAATAACAACTAATAAAAAAAAATCATACATCTAAGACTAAATTATCAATCAGTACACATCCAACATCCAATGGATTTAGTGTAAAGACGTCATAAACAGGCAGAGAAAAACATGACCTTGTGCAATGCCAAGATACAGGAGTCGACAGATTGTAGATCCATGAAAGTCCATATTATGTATATAACAATAATATTTAGTTTGCTTTTAATTTACTGATAACAAAATCAATATTAATACCAATAAAAACAATATTCAAAGATCTAATGACAGTGTTGAATTGGTAACCTTTTAGAATAAGTTTATTTAAAGGATCGATAAGTTTGTCTGTATTGTCGTTGGAAAGTAAATGTTACAACTCATAAAAAAAAAACAAGTCTGCAGATTAGAATTAGTGAAGAAACATGTGCAGTGAAAAAATTGAAATATCGAATTTATGAAAACGGTGTTTGTAATCTGCAATGTGGGTCGTCATAGAAGTACGGCAATGTATATATTAAAAGAAATCTTATAGTAATTATTCATCTACCACTGTAGATTTACCAATGCAGTTATAATTGAACTCGAAAGATCAATTGGCGAATATTGTGACAGCTAGAAATAGTAATTATTCATCTACAACTGTTGATTTACCAATGCAGTTATAATTGAACTCGAAAGATCAATTGCGAATATTGTGACAGCTAGGTGTTGCAAGTTTGTGAATGAAACATAATTGAAATTAAAACTTAGAGATTGATCTAACATGTTATATGCTCAAATGTTAAATCTTGAATTAAAACTTGCAGAGTGCAGCAAAGGGAAATTTGGATTTGATTGTTCTGAATCATGTGATGGTTGTATTAACGATTGGTGTAATCGTTTTGATGGTATATGCCTTGATAACAGTGGATGTAAGCCAGGCTATGAATATGGAAGATACTGCAATACGAGTAAGAAATTAATGCTTATATGATAATTACATATTATATAATACGTTTGATTACAACAATGCTTTATTTTGAAGTTTGTATAGTGTATGTTCTAGCTACAAGCTTTTGTACAATTAGTGCATATATACATAAACAACGAAAACTGGTTTTCATCATATACATGTATGAGGAAACTGACAAATGCTAAAGTAGTGAACGATCTACTGTGTAGGTAATCCATTAAAATGTATGAAATATGCCAATACATCAACGGACCAAAGACTGGCACATATCTGGCTCACGTGGAAACAGAAAGATTAGTAAAGACAACTACATAAAAAATGCGATTTATATTTCTACATGCACTAACAATGTTTCTTTGGAAAGAAAATCAGTAATATGTTTCCTTTCTGTCACTGTGACAATATATGGAGAAGCTAATCAAAACTGTATTGTTTTGCAGCTTGTAAAGATTGGAACTTCGGAACCAATTGTACAAAAACATGTAACTGCCTAAACAAACCATGTAACAAATTTTATGGCGACTGCTTCTATGAAGGCTGCAAAAAAGGATGGCATGGTGGTTCGTGTGACGAAAGTAAGAAACATTTTATTCATGTGAAAGTACCCGACTGAATTAGTTAACTTTGTCTAACCTTTGTACATCATTTAATAGTTTCCAACTATATTTCATAAGATAGACTTATCCGCTTATATTACGAGCTAGTTGCTTTCAACTGGTTACAATTTAGGTGATTACAACGTAGCAGAAATAAAAAAAAATACAATTTTATAGTACGATACACAAGTAAAAAAACCATTTTCTTGAATGTTTTTCAATCTTGTATATATGGAATTTAAAATTTGAAAAATTATATAATTATGTCCAAGTTATGAAAAAAATAAACTAGGATCTGACAATTTGTACTCTTTATTATGTTGTGTTTTGTATACTGTTGTTTATCTTTCGGTCGTTTCTCGTCCATGGCGTTGTCAAGTGGTTTTCGACTTACCAGTTTGAATTTCCCTTTGGTATCTTTCTCCTCTCTTTTATAACGTTTATTAACCAATATTATTAACTTTGATTATCGAAGCCACAAATAATGTTTTATCTGCAAATACTCGGTAGTATTATTTTGTTTTTCCATCGGAGACATCGTTGCAGCACTGCCTGTTTTCTGTCCGGCGCCTTAGATCAGTCGGTCAACTATGCTGTATAAAGTGTAACTTTTGTGATTATATACATTAGTAAACTTATAATAATATTACAAATGAGGCTTCACTGGGTTTAGGAATATTGTCACATGAACTTCTCCCATCTTGTAGAAATCAGTTGTTTAATAAAAATATGTGTCAATTTTGCTTTGAATGATGGATAAATAAGCGGCCACGACCGATTACAAGTCAACCAAAGACTTGAAAACTTGTATTTGCTGTTATTTTCTTCTATGTTAGCAGGATTTTGGAGTAAGAGCAAATACTGGTTTGCTCGTTTTCAGAATAATGTGACCTGGTAGTGTGACGTGTCTTCCTGTGGATTCTTACCTCGGTTGTCAACTCGCATGATAATAATCTGGCTCAGAGTGTCGATTCAAATTCATACTATATTAATAATTTCTAAGTGTGATATGCATGTAATATTTGCCAAATGACATAAAAAAACAATAGACGATCTTCATTGTCTTCCATCAGTTGCTTTTCGTCTGTCATCCGATATCTATATTGTTCTTATGAAACACAAAAACGTTCAAAGATCCAACAAAACTGGGACAACATACATTAATAGAAACCACTACAATTATTATATAAATAAAGAACCAATTCTAAAATCTTCAGACTCGGCTATTCTTAGAATATTCAACTTTAAGATTTATTCATACAGTGGACAATTTAATGAACTATATCTAAAAATTTAGGTTTGTAGCGATTTGGTGTTATAATTAAAAACATATATACTCGATTCCCAACAGATAATTTTATTTTGTATGCTCAATGTCTCAGAAACAGAATTGCATGATTCATTAGAATACATCAATAATAAGAGACGATTATCGAAATAACTTTAAACAAGAAAACATTACACTTAGAAAACAAAACTCGGATGGGAACAATATAACTAAATGCAATGAACACAAGTGCACAAGCACACACAAAAGACAGATACAACAAGAACTAGCGTAAAGAAATAAGGCAATGCAAACTATTTATGAGGTTTGATGTTTCAGAATGTAATAATGGTTATTTTGGATTTAATTGCCGTGGATTGTGTGAGGGATGTGTTAACGTAACCTGTGAAAGATTGGATGGATACATGGTTGTATCTTACATGTACCAGGTACGCTACAATATTAAGCTATAATAAATACTTCGGCTAAAAAAAGAAATCTTAAAGAAATTAATATTTCGATTTGATGTCCTTTATTCTATTTAGCAAATCAAACAAATTGAAGAAGAGTACCACAACTCAAATATGTAGATGACTATCGGGGTTTCATGGTATATTTACAAAAGTCTAAACGTTCTCTTTTCTAGGGTTACAACAAATTATATGCTTGTTTAAGATTTCCGTTTTGTCGAGCTTGCGAAATTTTGTCGCGGAAGTGAGACATGGCGATCCCCACAGTGAGGTCTCTTCCTATGTAAAGGTATACACAGACTGTATGTACTGAAAATCCAATGTTGAGACACGATCCTACATCCATCGTCGGCGTCGTCAACATTTAGATTCATTCTGTTATTAAAGTTGTTTCAGACATCAATAAATTTGTCAATCTTTCATGACGTTTTTAATTATCAAAAGACAGTATCAATTTTGAAAATATTTGTTTTTCTTCATTCTTCCGTATTTTTCTGATAAATGGATTTAGCAATTTCGCAGTTAACACTAGGATACAATCTGGGGTTAAAGTTTTCTAGAAAGTAATAACTTTTAATTGTCAAACCTTCAAGGAATTTTGTGAAATTTTGACATAAGCCTTTTATGCTTAAATTAAGATTTTGATATTATATTTTTATTTTTTCCATATTTTAGTAAGGGGGTAGACTTAGTTTTTCTGTATAACCTTGGATATTTCATGGGAGGATGTACATGTATGTTAGGTTTCCTGTCGGTTATTTGGTTGGTCGTGTTTACAAGAAGACGAATTTTGAAAAAGAGAGGTAAACAAAATAATTATTAATTAAATGAAACAATATTAATAATAAGAAACAAACAACACAAAAATACCCTGTAAATGACGGTCTCAACCTTTAAATGGATTGATTAATTCATTCGACAGATTGGTTTTAAGTTGGCAACCCTTATCCAAATCTTCGACAAAAATACATCAAGAAAGAATTTATACGTTTCCAGATAAATATTTGCCGGAATGGCTTTGAGTGGGATCCCGTCTGTGAGATGGTGTTGAAGCTGGGGAAACTAGCTTTTGTATCTGTAGTCGGCTGTTATTGGACTACAAGATAAGAATTTGTAATATCAGGTTAGATGTTTTGAATTCGATACCAATATATGAGATATTGGGTTTTAGATAATAGATTGGAATATATCACAGTTCATTCACAGCCAAGTCGGCAGTCCAATTCAATAAACGTAAACCAATTGGTCAAGTCCAAATTCATTTAATAGAGTCCAAATATGAAATAACAGTGTTATACAAATCAGTAATTTTAAAACAAAAACAATATATCTGATTGCGTTGGAAAATCCGAACGCAGTACATGTGCTCTCGTTGGCATATCCAAAACGGAGTCCTTTAATAATAATTAAACTTTCTTTAAATACCAAAATAGCGTTGCTAACAACAAAGTTTGTAATGGTCATTTTGTCAATAAAAAATAGATAACTGATTGATTCCGTTTATTAAAGAGAATTATGTACACGCGTATTTATTGAACATAAAGATAATTGATCAAATAGAAACATTGAGTAACCGTAAGATTTTAGTTTAATCTTGACCATAAGTATTGACAAATATAGATTTATAATCTAACATGTTTCAGGTGTAAACAAATATTTCGGACATTTTAAATTCATTGTGAATTTCGAGATCATTAGTATTGAATAATGAAATATGCTTGGTACACACGAAATGTACACGTTAATAAACTGTAATAGAAATCAACATAATTAGATAGTTTTGAATATAAAATTTAGCACAAAAATAGAGTGTCACAAATATACAATACGAAATCTGACAACATAGATGCAAAATATAAATATGTGTGTCATTGAAGTTGAAGAAGAATAATTATAAAATATGTTTATTAATACGTTTTATTTCATATCGGTTAAGAATTAGCTTCTCTCATTGGATAACAAGGGGCCACATGACATTCTTTATTCTTCAGTAATATTTTCTATCGGTCTTTAACAGAAAAAATCGGACCGGAAAACCGGTCGTTAACAGACTTTTACATGTTAATGACCGGTGGGGCGTGGTTTCTCTGTTTGAGTGAGGTCCCGTAATAAAACGCAATCGCGATTCAGACGTGTTTACAGTTTACAGTTTACAGTTATGAACATGGCTGAATCGGAAGACACGTCTGCTAGTACAGAGAACTCTAATGACCGTTGGGCTGTACTTTCGGAAGCTGACAGAGATATACTACTCAGCAACAAGAATGCTGAAAGCACCAAAGCAGCCACCAAATTTGCAGTCAAGACTTTTCATGATTATTGCATGACAGCGGCGAGCTACCAGACGACAGTGGCCATTGACCCGCTACCCGACATGGCTCTTGATTAACTGCTTGAAAAATTCTATCCATCACTGAGGAACAAGAATGGAGAAAAATATGCTGTTCAAAGCTTGAGGTCAATACGGGCCGGTATTCAAAGGTACATGTAGGTACACTCGAGTTGCATATTCTTCCATCATCTGTGAATGTTTACAGTTTGCCAAAATAATAATGGGGGTTGATATTTCTGGAACTTTATTTGTGCAAGTGTAAAATGTGTATTAAGGATTATATGTATGTTTATAATTTTGAATATCAATGCATTTTGAACCAGAATCAATTTGTTTACATGTTCCTAAGGCACGTTCCATTTGATTTTCTGGTTAGGCCTGTTTTTTTGGTGGGAGTACACTGCAGCTCAAATTGAATAACTAGCTTTAATTCATGTATGAACATGATAAATGTACAAAACATAGTAAGTTGAATATGTATTTATATGTGCCATTAATTTTTCAGGTACTACACTGAACCGCCACGTAGACGGGAGATCAACTTTATCAGCGGCGAAAATTTTACCCGTAGTAAGGCTATGTTTGAGGCTGTTTGTGTAGACTTGAAAAAAAGTGGTCTTGGTGATGTAACCCACAAACCTGTGATAAACGATGAAGATATGGCAAAGATCTGTGACTTTTTCAAAACTTGGAAAACAGATCCAGTAGTCCTAATCCGAAAGGTTTGGTTTGATCTCATGATTTTTTGCTGCCGTAGAGGAAGGGAAGGACTGAGAGAACTTTCGAAAACTTCATATGTTGTTGATTGTGACGGATCGGGTCAGAAATTCATTAAAAAAAAATGAATCAGAATTGACAAAAAAATCATCACACTGATGTAGAGGATTCGTCCGGTGGGATCATTTAGGAAGAAAAGGATAGCGACTTGTGTCCAGTTGCATCTTATCCTTTTTTATTTAGGGAAATTGAACCCTAACTGTGATGTACTTTTTCAGCGTCCGCGACCGAATTACCATACAGAAGATGAGACATGGTTTGAGAACAAACCACTTGGAAAAAATACTTTAGGTGCATTAATGGTGAAAATCTCTAATTGTGCGGGATTATCAAAAGTATACACTAATCACTCAATCCGATCTACATCTATCACATTCAACTCTGAGTGAAAGTGGTTTCGAGGACAGAAAAATCAAAAATGTATCTAAGCACAAGTCACTACAAAGCATTGAAAGCTACTCAAGGGACTCTTCACTCCCACAAAAGAAAAAGATGTTCAAAGCTCTTGCGTCGTCATTATATAATACTAAGACAGAGATACATGTACAGTCTACCGAGAACAATGCAATAAGCACTGTCAATAACATTTCTCCTTCGACAGGAAATGCTGTTGCCATTAGAGCACCAACAACCATTGCAGTACCACAAACTGTTCAAAACACTAATGCGTCTAGTACATGTATGCAACTTGGTGACATTGATTTTCTCGATGACAGTTTCATCAGTGAGTCCGCAGACTTTGATAAAGTACTGAAAGAAATTAGTGCATCACAAAACAATGTTCAAAACAATTACTCAAAAAAAAGAGTCCATGTGCAACAGAAATGACCATAGCGTTAATATTCAAAATGTATCGGGTGGAGTGTTCAATTTCTATGTTTCTAAAGACTAAATTTATACATGTATAACTATGAAGATTTTTTCCAGTTAAACATTTTCCTGTTTTCATTTTATATTGCAGTTGTTGTTGAATTGTTTACCATATGTTTTTGTTAATTATAAAATTATAGAAAACTTTATTTTGTATTCATATACTGAAAAATTGCACTCAAATGAATGGCAGTGACTTATAGTTATTTAATACTATGACTGATCTTTACTCTTTTCTATAGAAATCGTACATTAACTCGAGGTTACTTTGAACAATTTGAATTTATGAATTTTTTTAAAAACATGGTTTCTCAATGAAATAAACATAATAGTTATTGAAAAACTGGTCATTATCGTGATATATGGACTGCCCACAGGACAGTGGTATTGACTGAGACAGCGATAATGACCTACGGCTCAGTCGCTGTCTCAGTCAATACCACTGTCCTGTGGGCAGTCCATATATCACGATAATGACCAGTTTTTCAATAACTATTGTGTAAGTATAGAAGGGGTGTGATATTATTGTCAGTGTGACAACAGTCCATCAGGGACAACATGACGTGGATCGTAAGCAACTATTGGTAACCGTACAGCTTTCAACAATGAACCAAACCCATCAGGTCGCTGGTTTACATCCTCATCGTTTAGTATCTGTTAGATAATTGTCTCATTGGCAACCATACCTCTAGTCCTTAAGTATATATATAATGTATATGGCAAAGTATAGGATTTAAGAATAAATAAATCAGGTTACCCGTATTCGGTCCTTAACACACAAACAACTCGTTTTATTCTATTACATTTAGAAAAAAAAGAATTGACACTGACGAGGGCCATTTGTTAGGCCAAAATTTGTCAATAAAATTTCCTTTCATCTTATTCGTATAGTTTATCTCTTATTGGTATCGTTACACCAATCTTCAGACTTAAAAAAAGATACATATAGGAGGGACAAGCTATCTTGTTCAGCCTACGAAGTCTTTAACAAATTAAAAGGTTTTCGGGATTTTGTGGATAAAAAACTTGGTTTGTAGTTGTATTTTCACATACAGTATAACCCGTACATCATTTAAAATCAAGAATTGTACATGTACATACTGAACTTAATCCTGAATACTATGTTTATACAAAAGAGACTGAAGATACTAAGGTGACATTCAAACCTTTTAAATTGAGAGAAACTGACAATTCTATAAACAAAAAATACAAAAGACGACAAAACACTACATAGAGAACTAAAAACTTAGCAAAACACCCCACAAAAAACCAGGCGTGATAGTAGGTGCTCCGGCTATGCAAACCCTGCTCCACTAATGGCACCCGTTGTGTTGCTAATGGTAACTTCAAATCTGTTGAAGATTATAGTTTTATTCAGTGATGTCACAATCGAGGAAAGGATGATAAAATTTAAACATGTGTAATATCATATTATTATTTTTAATTTTTAAATGTTTAAGAAGGTAATAGAATTGACTTATTAGGATTACAAATTATTTGTCTTTTTTTTTCAGGAAATAAGAACACTACAAACACCACAAATTGGTAAGTATTTTGAAAATTAATGCACCAGTACTAACATGTAATACACACATATTATAACGTATGTTTTAAAGACCAAACATAAAAAACACAGTTTGAATTTTGAAGGGGACAGCCATTTGATTTTCTGCATGGGGGAGGGGGAGTGACAGGAGAATATTTTGTGGACGAAATTTGTAACTTTTGATATGCTGCTAGGCCGAATAATTTATGTTAATTTATGTCAATATTCGTTCTTTTTCCGGCATGATTTTTTTTAAGTCTTGCAAGGGCAGACATTTCATTTGTTAAATCTTCCTGCCCCATCCCACAGAACAAGAAGCAGTGATATCTAAGAATTGATTTTTAAATTATTATGAGAAGGTTCCAAACTCGCATTTATGAGAAATGATACTCGGTCGCGGTCTTCCGTTATTATGGTTATATTTCGATTCCGCGGTTGCCTATCCAACTGACACTTGTGTGTGGTAAATCTACAATGAATTACCTACAAAATGATGTAGAACAGGCTAAATCAACATTGCCATTTCGCTGTCAGTTACTGTTGACCTACTTAGAAGAAATGTTACGAATTATTCCGACAACAGGAATGATCGTGCCTTTCATCATTTTGTAGATAATTCAACATAACAAGTTTCAGTATGATAGACAATCGCGGAATCGAAATATAACGAAAATTCGAGACCGATTGTCATTTCTCAAAAATACGAGTTGGGTTCCTTGCGTTACATTAAAGCATATATAGATTTTTTTCAGAGGCAAATGCCTGTGCAATCATACTATATATTCTTTTAATATCTCTTAACATTCCATCTAAGACGTTTTCAAAACACTTGTATAAGATCTGTTGATAAAGGTACACGTTGTTGAGTGTCGCTGTCAACCATATTTCCACTTTCGATACCATTCAGAATAGTCAAATACAATGGTTTAAATAGTAAAATGCACTCAAAAATCAAATCATGTTTTGATTAATAAACTGCGAACCATTCCAAATCATTCATCAACAACCAGTATCATATGAATGATTTAGTGATTACTCAGTATTCTCATTTTTTTTGTAGTTTTGAGCGGCGTAATTGTGATTCAAGAATGGAAAATATGTCAACATATCAGGATCTGACGACT